ATTGCATGGAGGGGATTGTAACCATGGCAATGAGAGGATAGACAGATGATAGAATGAATGTAAAACTAATGTTCTCCCATGTAAACTGTCACATAATTCACAATAAATCATTTAAGAAAAAAAAAACACACAAAACCCTTTGGAGGCAGAGCCAAGACTGCACTCTAGTCTGAAGTGCTGGCTGAACTTATGAATACCTCCGGGGCCATGAACCTGAACGCACAGGGCCACCTCAACCCGTGGAGGGAGAGCCTGGTGAACTGCAGATGGGGGGGCTGGGCCTCTTTTCCAACACAGAAAGCTGCCTGCCCCCAGCCTCCTGCCCCTCCTCCAGGCTGCTCCAAACCATAGTTGTAAGTCACTCCCCATAGGGCTGCCTATGTAGCCAAACAACCTCATTCCTTCCAAACTCCCACAGGTATTTCCTAGGAAGCTCAACATACTGCTCTGTCCCCTGCCTCCCTGGCTCTCCTCAGATCTTCCGTCTCACCTTAGCACACACTCTATCTGGCTCCAGGGTTCAACTCCCAATGTCACCTCCTCTGAGCAGCTTCCCAGCAGACTAGGTTAGACACTCCTCTTCTGAGCATCTGCCAGTGTATCCCCACCCACTAGACTGTGGGCTCTCCAAGGACAGGGCTGGGTTTCCGCACTCTTACTTCCCTAGCACCTAGCATGGTGGCTAACAATCACAATCACGAGAGCTTAGCACATTTTGTTACATTTCTGTTGTTTGTTGTTAAGTGCCGTGGAGTTGGTTCTGACTCATAGCGACCCTCTATAGGGTTTCTGAAGGAGCTCTGGTAGCGTAGTGGTTATGAGTCGGGCTGCTGACCTCAAGGTCAGCAATTTGAAACTACCAGCCATCCCATGGGTAAAAAATGAAATCTTTAAGGACCATAATGATTGGAAATTGGAACCCATAAGTGGTGCCTTGGAAGAAAAGACCTGGCCATATGTTTATAGGAAAATACAAACCCTGTGAGCAGTTCTCAATGGCACTTAACAACATGAACACATGGGTCACCACGAGTCAAAATCAACTTGCTGGCAGCTAACCAAAAATTTTGTTGAGTGAGTGGGTGAGTGAATCGATACTTGACATAACCAGTTAGGGGAAGGTCCTGAGATGGGCAGAGGAAGTGATTGAAGAAGTGTGGTATCCTCCATGAGACTTGTTAATTGGCGTCGAACCAATTTTGACTCAGCAACCCTGTACCGGGTTTCCTAGGAGCGGCTGGTGAGTTTGAACTGCCGACCTTGTGGTTCAAACCAGCCTGGTGGTGGAGTGTTTATCCTACAGAGCCACACCAGGACTCCATGGGAGTAGATATTTTAAAAAGAGAACACTGTTTAGTTAATAAGGATAAGATAAAATCTAGCATAATCCCTAATAGCAGATTATAAAATGCTGACACATATTTATCTCATTTGATCTTAATAAACCCTGACATGAACTGATAATCCTCATCTCACAGATGAGGAAACTAGAGATTAGAGTGGGAAGTAATTAACTTAAAGCCTCGCATTTTGAAGTGAAAGAGTCAGAAGTTTAACCTCTATCCTAGAACCCAAAATCCCAGTTCTTCTACAATGCCAGAGAAAGGGCTAAATTAGGGCAGAAATCTTGAAATTTGGAATGTTTTCTGATCTCATGATCTCATTCAATTAGGCTGAAAATACACAAAGATTCAACTAAAGCTGAAATCACTTTGTGGACAACCCGCTCCTACTCTGCAGTTCCTGAAAACAGAGACGCCTCGGCTCTCTGAACAGCGTCTGTGATGACCAATTAATTCCATCAATAACACCTGTGCCTGGAGACCTGGGACACTCCCACCACTTAGACAAGGGGCTGGGGCCCTGCTCTGCTGCCACAGTGGTGGCAGGAAAGGAAGACAGAAAAAGGAAGGTCAAAGATGAAGGGTGAAGTTCAAATACACCCTACACACCATGCAACCCTGTCCCTTTGACAGAAGATGCTCGCAAATTTAAGGAGTAGCTTCCTGGTGGCCAACACCAAACAGTGATACAGGGTCATGGCTGAAAGTGCAGGAGCCATGTCACCTGGGTGTGAACCAGACTCTGCCACTCACTAGCTTTGTGGCCTTGAGCAAGTTACTTAAAAGTTTCTGTGCCTCCATTTCCACATCCATAAATAGGGAATGATAACAGAATCCAGTTCCTAAGGTTCTGTGGGGACTGAAAGAGCTCATTTGTTGAAGGCACTTGGCTTTCTACTGGAAACCAATTTCAGGGTCGCTATGGGTCAGAACCAACTTGATGGCACTTAACAACAACTTTATTTTTAAAAGGGGAGCACGGTGATTCTAAATAAGCACAGGACTATGAACCACAAGGTCCACAGTTTAAGCCCACAAGCTGCACCCTTTAAGATTTTTTTTTTAAATCCTCAGATACCCTATACAGTGTTGCTGTGAGTTGGAACAGACTAATTATTAAGTGAAAATTTTCTGATACTAAAACATCCACAAGAAAATAAAATGCAGTCTAGGCACAGAGTCTTCAATAGCCTGATTCAATGACCAAGGGAGCCATCATGGGAGAGGCATTCCGTGCTGGGGTCCCGGGTTCAAGGAGGTCAGGGGTTGGATGGAGAGAAAGGTGTAGCTCCTAGGGCACTTACCAAGGTGGAATGGGCAATCTCTGGGGACAAGGACTGGCCTGGAGTTATAAAAGCTAACTGAGTGGTAGTGCCAATGACAGAGACAAGGAACACGCACCCCTCACGTTCCCCCTCAGATCCATCTTTTACAACAATTTTGATAATTTGTTCACTGTGACTTCCCAACACTTAACTCAGGGCACTTTCTACAGCAGTCATAGGAAACTAATGTACCTGATGACAATTTGGCAATTTCCATCAAAATGACAATTCTTGGGGACTTTCCTACAGATAATCTTGTTCAAGCAGCATAAGTATAATAGCAACAGACTAGAAACAACCCAAATGACCATCACTAGGGAAACAAATGACCATTCAGTGGAATATTACGTGGCTACATGAAGGGTTTTATGTACAGATATGGAAAGACTGTGGGGGAACATTAAGTAAAAAGTGCAAGGTACAGAACTGGATGTTAGTTTGTGTAAAAGGGAGAGGGGAATGGAATCAACAATCTGATTTGCTTATACATATATGAGAGAGCTTCAAAAAGTTTGCAGAAAACTGAAATTAAAAGTTAATAGAGAAGCAGTGATGCCTGAGATGGAGGCAGAGATGATGACGTGGAGAGAGGGAACACGTAGGGACTTTAGACACAGAGAGGGAGAGGGGCTCTAGGGTATATACCCTTTAGTTGGTTGATGATGCATGGAGGGGATTGTAACCATGGCAATGAAACGATATAGGATAGGATGAATGTAAAACTAATGTTCTCCCATGTAAACTATCACATAATTCACAATAAAACATGAAAAAAAAAAAGTTAATAGAATTTTTCTACAAACTTTAAAAATGCCTCCTGGTATTTGAATGTCACACCTGTGGTGTTTACTGGCACCTACTGAACAGAGATCAAGGATGCTGATAAACATCCTATAATTCACAGGGCAGCTCCCAAACCCCCAAAGAAAGTTATTTAGTCTAAAATGTCAACAATACTGAAGGTGGAGAAATCCCAGTAAAAAGGAATTCTAGAAGGTTCTGCAAGAAACTGAGGGGTGGCTGAGATCTGAGGGAACAGGGGACAAGGCTGAGAGGATTCACTGTCCCTTTCTCTTTTGTAAGCATCCCTCCACTCGGGGCCCAGCTCCCTGGAAGATGGTCACATGTGGTGTCCACTCAGCCCTCCACCATTACCTTCCCCCTGGGCCCTCACCAGCCACAAATCCAACCCCACTGTTGTTGTTAAGTGCTGCTCAGTCAGTTCCGACTCCTAGCGACTCTATTGGGGAGTGGCTGGTGGGTCTGAACCACTGACCTTGTGGTTAGCAGTCTAGTGTTTACCCTACAGCATCGGCACCAGGACCCTCTACTAAATGGATCCTTGTGTTCCCCCTCCCACTCTCAGGGAGAGTTGTCCTTAATCTCACTTTCCTACTAAACCCCCAACTACTTCTTCCTCTGTCTAGTCTTCAAATGCTGCTGCTTCACGGGGTCCTACCCTAATAAAGTGGTTGAGGAAGTGCAGGCTCATGAGTTAAACTACCCAAGTTCAAATCTTGGTTCTTCCACTTGATAGCTGTGTGACCTTGGGCAAGTTACTTGACCTCTCTATTTCTTTCCTGCAAAATGGTGGCAATAGTACCTTCAGCACATAGTCAGAGACAGGACTTGCATAAACCAAACAAACCAAACCCATTGTCATCGCATCGATTCCAACTCACAGTGGCTCTAGAGGACAGAGCAGACCTGCCCCACAGGGTTTCAGAAGTTGTAAATCTTTACAGAAGCAGACTAATAAATCCTTTCCCCAGTGGAACAGCAGGTGGGTTCGAACTGCCAACCTTTCATTAGCAGCCAAGCACTTAACCACTGGGCCACCAAGCTCCTGGGCTTGTATGTGTTATTGTTGTTAAGTACCGTAGCATCAGTTCTGACTCATAGTCTGTGTATTGTTTTTGAGGAGTGGCTGGTGGGTTTGAACTGCCGACCTTGCAGTTCAAGCCGACCTTATGCAGTGCTTTATCCCACAACGCCACACTAGGAGGTGCTCAATAAACATGAGTGTAGTACATTGTTGCAAAGTGATAGCAGTAATTCTTCTCCTTGTATTCAAGCATGTGGAAGTAGAGTTTTCCATTCCTCCCATCTAACAGTGGAGTTCATGTCCCACTTTTTGACTCTAGGCTGGCTTTGTGACTTGCTTTGTCTAAGACTGGGGCAGAGGCCCATTGTGGGCTTCCAAGCCTAGGGACCCTGTTGCTGATCCATGAACAAGCCCAGGCTAGCCTGTGGGAGGATGATAGAAAAGCAGCGCCTGCAGCTCCAGCTAACAACCAATCAGTCCTCAAAACCAGAGCCACCTAGCAGACATAGAGTTGACAGTGGACTTACAGTCCAGATGAGACCAGAACAGTAAAGGGATATGCTAAATAAATGGATGTTGTTTGCCAAGAGCCACCAGGTCTACTGTGAATGTTTTTCAGAAATGGCTAACACAAACCATCAGCTATTAGGAATAGGAGTCCTGGTGTGGGGTGCTGCAGGAAAATGCACTGGACCACAAGGTCGGTTTGGACTACACGGTGGGGGGTTCAAACTCACAAGCTGCTCCTCAGAAACCCTTTAACAGGATCGCTGAGAGTCAGAGCTGAATCAACAGCACTTAAAACAACAAATAAAGAAGGTTTTTGTGTACAGGTATAGAAAGGCCACTGGCTTCATGAACAGCTTCACTAAAGATTTGTTGTTGTTGTTGTTAAGTGCCGTTGAGTTGGTTCTGAGACATAATGACCCTGTACACGGTTTCCAAGGAGCGGCTAGTGAGCTTGAACCACAACTTTGCAGTCCAGTGCATTCATTAGCTCACAGTGCCACACCAGACAACTACATTCAAGAAAACCAGTATGTAATGTTGGGGTTGTCATAAGATAGGGGAGAGGCGGTTCCATGGCAGCTAAAGAACACACACACAACACATCTGCTCTTGATTCCAATCCTTTGCATGGATTTCTAACCTCCTTCTTCCATCCTGGTTAATTCTGAAGCATCCTTGAGTCTCGGTGTGGATATTAATAATTTCTACCAGAAACCCTTCTCCACTTCCTACACTGAGTCACTCTCTATCAAGCCCGGTTCTTAGGCTGGATTGCCCAAGGCCCTATGAGCTGCTGTCATTGGGGATTTCTCCTAGTCACACAGTATCCCCAACACCAAGCTAGGGGTGGGTAAGTAGGTTCTTAGGAAATCCTTGTTACAAGAAAGAATAAACGGACAACTCTATGATTCTAAGAGTCCCCAAGATTCTACTCGCAGACTCCAAAATTTTGTTTTGGAAGGCGAGTATTCCTAAACGTCTCATTTTATGTCATCTAAAAAGTGCTTCCACTTTAAGATCTCAACTTGCTCAAAGTTTACGCTTCTAACTCTTGCTAGGGAGTCTGACTCTTTACCTCCAGGGAAATCTGGAGGCCGCTTGAGTGGCTGGCCGCCACCCCCAGGACCGCGGGCGCCCTGACCCCTACCTGGCCGCCTGCATGAGCGCGCTCCAGCCGTAGTGGTTGCGGCTGTTAACCGAGGCTCCGCGGCGCAGCAGGAAGCGCACCAGCGGCTCGTGGCCCCCGGCTGCAGCAAACTGCAGCGCCGTGTTGCCTGCCTCATCCGAGCAGTCCACGGGCACCAGTGCCCCGGCCGCCGTCGCCCCGGGCCCGGCTGTCTCGGCCCCCGCCGCCTCCGCGCCTGGCTGGGACTCCGCGCCTCGCTCCACCGGTTCCACCGCCCCAGCCTCCAGCAGCCGCTGCGCCGTTTCCGTGTCTCCCTGGTCGCAAGCGCGCAGCAGCAGCTGGAAGGCCGGGGGCAGTCCACCTTCGCCCATCGCGGCCCGAGCCAGCGGCCGGAGATCGCCCGCCCGGCCGGCTCCGCCCCCGGATACCGAGCGCCGGCGCCCCCTTCCGCCCGCCTCGAGCGCGCGCCGCTGGCTTCCCTGACTGCGCGCCCCGGACGGCGCTGCGCGCCTACTGTGTGCCAGGCGCGCGCCGGAGCGGGGTCGCGCCTCCACCGCCCGCGTCTGGGAGGGACCGCTGTCTGGCCGTCTGCTTGCGGCCTTTTCTCACTGCGCTGAAGATTTCCTGCTCGTTTGGGAGCTCGGGGTGACTGCTCCAATTCTTTCATTGCGAAATCCACTGAAGCGGCGCTTTGTAGATGCCTGTTGACTGAATTATAGAACAAACGGACACCCTCAGAAAGTGTTGCAAGGCTCTTAGTATAGCAGTCCTTCAGCTGGACAGGACTGTTTAGGCTACAAGCGACTCATGAACCTCATCCTTTGTCATAAGTTCTCAAAGTGTGCTCCACAGATGCTGTAAACCAAACTGGTAACACTGCTGCCACCACTTGAAGACAGCCTACCGGAGAGTGAAGCTGCCACACAGAGAAGCACAGCAAAGTGATACCAAGAGACTGAGTCCTAATGCCAGCAACCGTCCAATTAAATTGAAGGCCAGCTTCAGCCCTTTACTTCTCAGTTCTGTGTCTGTAAATCAGACATCATCCTTCCCACATCTTCTTTTAGATTAAAGTTTGTTTTGAGTAGAATGGTCACTTGCAAGTTTAATGTTGTTAAGTGCCACTGAGTGTATAGGGTTTCGGAGGAGCAGCTTGTGGGTTTGAACTGCCGACCTGGTGGCTCGAAGTCCAGTGTTGGCCCTACAGTGCCACACCAAGTTCCTTAAGCCTTAATAAATGCATAAATTATTTTTTTAAAAGAATGGGTCGGGATTATACATGCAATTCTGAATCTTTGCTTTTTTTTTTTTTTTTTTTCAACTTGACAAGCGTATTGGGCATTTTCCCCTGTAGGCAAATACAGATCTGCTGAGTCCTTTTTAATGATTGCACTGTAGTACTATTAAGAATGTTCATCATAATATATTTAATCATTTCTTAATGATACACATTAAGATGCACACTATTATAAACACAATTCTGCATTAAGCAATACTGTTAGCAGGCAGAGTCCCCCTGTAGGAGACAGGTGGCACACTCGGCTGAGGAACTGAGGAATGTTTAATAATAGGTTATTTACAAAAGTGTGGACAGGATGGTACAGTACTACCAGTGGGGAGCATTACCACCCAGACATGAAGAGGGAAGGAAGGGTGCAGATCCTGGAATTCTGCCAGAAAGGAACTATGCAGAGAGTTACCCAATAGGAGCTGTGCCTTTTGGTAAAGGGATACATTCAAACCTACAATAACCCAACAGGGTACAGTTCGAAAGGAATGAGACCTCACTCAGATGCCACTCTCCTTGCATCCTTGGTCTCCTGCCGGTAATCCTCACTGACCATACCCAACTAGAATCCAGAGACTTGAAGCCCTCTGCTTTGGTCCACATGGTCAGTCTCCCTGGGCATAAAGCAGAATAGAGACTCAGCAGAGGCAAATGGAAAATGTCCAGCACATTGGTGCTCAAAAGTGTGGTCCTTGGACCAACAGCAGCCAAATCACCTGGTTGCTTATGGGAAATACAGACTCTCGGGCTATATCCCAGAGTTACTGAACCAGAATCTGTATTTCAGCAAGCTAACTGGGTATTTCATGAACACATTAGAGTTTGTGAAGCACAAACCGAGCACATCTCAGTACATACATAGGGTCTTTTTATGAACACTTTCTACTATTGTTTCCTGTTGATCCCAATGTCAGTTTGTTGTTTTTGTTAGGAGCCATAGAGTCGGTACCAACTCATAGCGACAACAGAATGAAACACTGCCTGGTCCTGGTCCAACCTCACAATTGTTGCCACACTTGAGCCCATTGATGCTGCCACTTTGCCAATCCATCTCGCTGGGGGTCCTCCTCTTTTTCTTTGACCCTCCTCCCTACCAAACCCCTCCTGACAATATGTCCAAAGTATGAGAGACGAAGTTTGGCCATCTTGGCCTCCAAGGAGCACTCTGGCTGCACTTCTTCCAACATTTTTCTTTTGGTAGCCCAAGGCACTTTCAATATTCTCCTCCAACACCATAACTCAAAAGCTTCGATTCTTCTATGGTCTTCCTTATTCACTGCCCAGCATTCGCATGCATATGAGGTTATTGAAAATACCATGGCCTGGGTCAGGCGCACCTTAGTCCTCAAGCTGACATTTCTACTCTTCAACACTTTAAAAAGGTCTTGTGCAGCAGATTTGCCTAATGCAATACGCTGTTTGATTTCTTACCTGCTGCTTCCATGAATGTTGATGACTGATCCAAGAAGAATGATGTCCTTAACAACTTCAATCTTTTCTCCATTAATAAGAATGTTGTTTCTTGGTCCAGTGGTGAGGATTTTTGTTTTCTTTACATTGAGATATAATCCATACCAAAGGTTGTGGTCTTTGGTCTTCATCAGTAATTATTTTAGGTCCTCTTCACTTTCAGAAAACAAGGTTGTCTCATCTGCATATCTCAGGTTGTTAATGAGTCTTCCTCCAAACCTGATGCCATGTTTTTCTTCATAGAACCCAACTTCTTGGATTATTTGCTCAGTTTACAGGTTGAATAAATATGCTGAAAGAATACAACCCTGTCACACACCTTTCTTAATGTTAAACCATTCAGTATCCCCATGTTCTGTTTGAACAACTGCCTCTTGGTCCATATACAGATTCCTCATGAGTACAATTAAGTGGTCAGGATTACTCATACTTCGCAATGTTGTCCATAGCTTGTCATGATCCACACAATCGAAAGCCTTTGCATAGTCAATAAAGCACTGTAAACATCTTTCAGGTATTCTCTGCTTTCATCCAAGATCCATTGGATGTCAGCAATGATATCCCTCATTCCATAGCCTCTTCTGAATCTGGCTTGAACCTCTGGAAGTTCTCTGTCAAAGTATGCTTGCAGCCATCTCTGTATTACCTTTAGTAAAACTTTACTCGCATGGGTTATCAAAGATATTGCCTGATGATTTCCATGTTCCGTTGGGTCACCTTTCTTTGGAACAGGCACAGATACAGATCTCTTCCAATAAGTCTGCCAGATAATTGTCTTCCAAATTTCTTGGCATAGATGAGTGAGTGCCTCTAGTGCCACCTCACTTTCTTGAAAGATTTCAGTTTTTATTCCATCAATTCCTGGAGCCTTGTTCTTTGCCTTGGACTTCTTCCTTCAATATCATTGGCTCTTGATCATATGCTACCTCTTGAAACGGTTGAACATCAACCATTTCCTTTTGGTTCAGTGACTCTGTGTAATCTTTCCATCTTCTTTTGATGCTTTCTTCATCATTCAGTAATTTGGCCAGGGAATCCTTCAATAACAAAAGTCATGACTTGATTTTTGTCTTCAGTTCCCCCAGCTTGAGAAATGCTGAGCGTGTTCTTCCCTTTTGGTTTTCTGACTCCAGATGTCAGTTTGAGTCCCATGAAAATCAGATATCAAGATGGTTATTACTGGGAGAAATGCCTGGGAAGGACACTGAGGGAAGCAGGAGAAGGCAAGGAGAGATTGCAGACCGCAGTGCAGATCTGACAACTAGAAAAGAAGAGTGGGAAAAGAGGAGGATGTGATAGGTTGTTCAAACGTTATGAGTTGGAACCTACTTGACAGGACTTAACAAAGATTACCTAAAAGTTTAATGGTTTAAATCCACTGAAAGGTACCTACGAAGAAAGGCCTGGTAATCTCCTTCCAAATGATCCTAGCCATTAAAAACCTTGTGGAGCAATAGAAAACGATAGGCCCATGGACTGAGAAAGGCAGTATACCTACAGGCAGGAGGCAGGCTTGCAAAATGTGCTCTTTGGACATTTAAACAAATACGTATTTTCAATGGAGTCCTGGTGTGGCACTGTGGGTTAATGTATTGGACTGCGAAGTTGATTTGAACCACAAGGTCGGCTGTTCAAGTTCACCAGCTGCTCCTCAGAAACCCTATTCAGGGTCTCTATGAGTCAGAATTGATTTGTCGGCACTTAAAAACAACAACATGTGTACATAAAAAAGGGGGGGGGGTGATAGATGAGTAGATACATGCACACCAATGTTCATAGCACCTCTATTCAAAATAGCAAAAAGCTGGAGACAGCCCAAGTGTCCATCAATGGAAGATTGGATAAACAAACTTTGGTACATGCACACAATGGAATATTATGCTACCTTGAAGAACAACAAGGAAGTTGCAAACCACCATATAACATGGATAAACCTTGAGGACATTATGCTGAGTGAAATTATTTCGTCACAAAAGGACAAATATTGCGTAAGACCATTACTGTAAAAGTTTAAGTAAAGATACCCATAATTAAAAGAAAAAAAAAGAAAACTTTGTTGGTTAGCGGGGCAATGGGGACGGAGAGAAGGGAGGGGACAGTAGAGCACAGGGTAGGGGATAGACACAGCATAGTTCGAGTGTTGGGGAGGGCAATACACAAGAAGGGGGAGGTGAATAGAATAGCAAGGTAGATAGGGAACACTGAGGCAGGTTTGCATAGGCTAAATGGGACAGAGGTAAATAGTGATGCATGCTCAACCTTGGAACAACAGGACTCTGTGATAGAGGGATTGAGGCATAGTCTGAATGGGTAAAAGAGAGGAAATAATGTTAAGATGTTTGATTGTCTTATGAATATTGGTTTCCCTTGCCTACTATTGTAAAATAGACACTTGAGTGGGATAGGAAGGAATATCAGGAAACATGATTACAGAAATCTTGTAAGCCCGTTTCAGCCTATAACTGATTGGAATACCTAAAAGGGGTTCTAGAACTTGCCCAGTGAAATAGGCTTCTAGTGGAGCCTATGTAGTGCATAGCACCTTAGGTGGAATCCTGAGCTTCATCAAGAACCTCTCTTGGTGGGACAGTCCCACTTGAAAGGGCAAGCAGA